TACGAACTATGAGGAAGTGATGATGAGCCCAGATTCCGCGAAATGGCTAGAAGCCATGGAATCTGAGATGGGATCCGTGTATGAGAACAAAGTGTGGACTTTGGTGGACTTGCCCGATGATCGGCATGCCATAGAAAATAAATGGATCTTTAAGAAGAAGACCGACGCAGACGGTAAGGTTACTGTTTACAAAGCTCGACTTGTTGCGAAAGGTTTTCGACAAGTTCAAGGAGTTGACTACGATGAGACTTTCTCACCCGTAGCGATGCTTAAGTCTGTCCGAATCATGTTAGCAATTGCTGCATTTTATGATTATGAAATTTGGCAAATGGATGTAAAAATTGCATTCCTGAATGGATTTCTGGAAGAAGAGTTGTATATGATGCAACCGGAAGGTTTTGTCGATCCAAAGGGTGCTAACAAAGTGTGCAAGCTCTAGTGGTCCATTTATGGACTGGTGCAAGCCTCTCGGAGTTGGAATAAATGCTTTGATAGTGTGATTAAAGCATATGGTTTTATACAGACTTTTGGAGAAGTCTGTATTTACAAGAAAGTGAGTGGGAGCTCTATAGCATTTCTGATCCTATATGTAGATGACATATTGTTGATTGGAAATGATATAGAATTTCTGGATAGCATAAAGGGATACCTGAATAAGAGTTTTTCTATGAAAGACCTCGGAGAAGCTGCTTACATATTGGGCATCAAGATCTATAGAGATAGACCAAGACGCTTAATTGGACTTTCACAAAGCACATACCTTGATAAAGTTTTGAAGAAGTTCAAAATGGAACAGTCAAAGAAAGGGTTCTTGCCTGTGTTACAAGGTGTGAAGTTGAGTCAGACTCAATGCCCGACCATTGCAGAAGATAGAGAGAAAATGAAAGTCATTCCCTATGCTTCAGCCATAGGTTCTATCATCTATGCAATGATGTGTACCAGACCTGATGTATGTCTTGCTATAAGCATAGTAGGGAGGTACCAAAGTAATCCCGAAGTGGAGCACCGGACAACGGTCAATAACATCCTGAAATACCTAAAAAGGACTAAGGATATGTTTCTCATTTATGGAGGTGAAAAAGAGCTCGTCGTAAACGGTTACCTTGATGCAAGCTTTGACACTGATCCGGATGACTCTAAGTCACAAACCGGATACATATTTTTATTGAATGGAAGAGATGTCAGTTGGTGCAGTTCCAAGCAGAGCATCATGGAGGGATCTACGTGTGAAGCGGAGTACATTACTGCTTCAGAAGCAGTAAATGAAGGAGTTTAGATGAAGGAGTTCATATCCGATCTAGGTGTCATACGTAGTGCATCGGATCCAATGAAAATATTTTGTGATAATACTGGTGCAATTGCCTTGGCAAAGGAATCCAGATTTCACAAGAGAACTAAGCACATCAAGAGACGCTTCAATTCCATCCGTCATCAAGTGTCAGAAGGGGATAAAGAGATTTGCAAGATACACGCAGATCTGAATGTTGCAGACCCGTTGACTAAGCCTCTTCCACGAGCAAAACATGATCAGCACCAAAGCTCCATGGGTGTTAGAATCATTACTATGTAATCTATATTATTGACTCTAGTGCAAGTGGGAGACTGAAGGAAATATGCCCTAGAGGCAATAATAAAGTTATTATTTATTTCCTTAATTCATGATAAATGTTTATTATTCATGCTAGAATTGTATTAACCAGAAACTTAGTACATGTGTGAATACATAGACAAAACCTATAGTCCCTAGTATGCCTTCTACTTGACTAGCTCGTTAATCAAATATGGTTATGTTTCCTAACCGTAGACATGTGTTGTCATTTGATGAACGAGATCACATCATTAGGAGAATGATGTGATGGACATGACCCATCTATTAGCTTAGCATTATGATCGTGTTAGTTTCATTGCTACTGCTTTCTTCATGACTTATACAAGTTCCTCAGACTATGAGATTATGCAACTCCCGAATACCAGAGGAACACTTTGTGTGCTACCAAACGTCACAACGTGAATGGGTGATTATAAAGGTGCTCTAAAGGTGTCTCCGAAGGTGTTTGTTGGGTTGGCATAGATCGAGATTAGGATTTGTCACTCCATGTTTCAGAGAGGTATCTCTGGGCCCTCTCGGTAATACTCATCACTATAAGCCTTGCAAGAATTGTGACTAATGAGTTAAGTTGCGGGATGAAGCATTACGGAACGAGTAAAGAGACTTGCCGGTAATGAGATTGAACTAGGTATTGAGATACCAACGATCGAATCTCGGGCAAGTAACATACCGATGACAAAGGGAACAACGTATGTTGTTATGCAGTTTGACCGATAAAGATCTTCGTAGAATATGTAGGAACCAATATGAGCATCCAGGTTCTGCTATTGGTTATTGACCGGAGACGTGTCTCGGTCATGTCAACATATTTCTCGAACCCATAGGGTCCGCACGCTTAACGTTCGATGACGATTGGTATTATGAGTTTATGTGATATGATGTACCGAAGATTCTTTGGAGTCCCAGATATGATCATGGACATGACGAGGAGTCTCGAAATGGTCGAGACATAAAGATTGATATATTGGACAACTATATTCGGACACCAGAAGTGTTCCGAAAAAGTTTTGGATATAATCGGAGTACTGGGGGTTACCGGAACACCCCCCCCCCGGAAGCTATTGGGCCTCATGGACCTTAGTGGAGAAGAGAGAGGGCAGCCAGGAGGTGGCGCGCGGCCCCCCTTGCCCCAGTCCGAATTGGACAAGGGGAAGGGGCGGCGACCCCCCTCTCCTTCCTTCTCTCCACCTCCTCCTTCCCCCTCTTCTCCTTCTTGGACTAGGAAAGGTGGGAGACCTACTCCTACTAGGAGTAGGAGTCCTCCCCCTTGGCGCGCCCCTTGTTGCCCGTCGGCCTCCTCCCCCCCCCCTCCTTTATATACGGGGGAGGGGGGCACCACAAAGACACACAAGTTGATTGTTTAGCCGTGTGCGGTGCCCCCCTCCACAGTTACACACCTCGGTCATATCGTCGTAGTGCTTAGGCGAAGCCCTACGCCGGTAACATCATCATCTCCGTCACCATGTCGTCGTGCTGATGAAACTCTCCCTCGACCTCAGTTGGATCTAGAGTTCATGGGACGTCACCGAGCTGAACGTGTGCAGATCGCGGAGGTGTCGTACCTTCGGTGCTAGGATCAGTCGGATCGTGAAGACGTACGACTACATCAACCACGTTGTCATAATGCTTCCGCTTTCGGTCTACAAGGGTACGTAGACAACACTCTCCCCTCTCGTTGCTATGCATCAGCTAGAGATAAATCTTGCGTGATCGTAGGAATTTTTTTGAAATTACCGCGTTCCCCAACACCTTAATGTACTCAGAGGTGCATCTGTCACCGTACATCCATTGCCGGTTCATCTGCATGCATTATATATAATTAAGTGTGGCCAAAACCATTACAGAACATCATGAATAGTGAAGTGACCAAATTAATAGAAGTTCATCATCACATTAAAACCAAATTAATAGAACATCATGTTTTTCTTTTAGAAAGAAGATAAAAACAAGAGGCTCACCACGGTGGTGCCGGCGATGAGATCGGCACGGGCGATCGACGGCGGTGAGGACGGGGACGGGACAGGACGGACCACGAAACCTAGACAAATCTTGAGGAAAATGGAGTTTGGACAAGGAGCTTCGAGAGGAAGCTTAAGTGTGGCTCAGGCATTTCAGCGAACACCTCATGTGCATAGGAGGTGAGCTAGAGCACCGCAAAGCTCTCCCACGGCTGGCCAAAAAAAACAGAGCAGTGAACTGCTCTGCTTGCGGGTAGGGGGTATATATAGGCCTCTCTTTAGTCCCGGTTTGTGACTAAAACCAGGACTAAAGGACCACATTTGGTCCCGGTTCCAGACACAAACTAGGACTAAAGGTTGTGGGCCAGGAGCGAGGCACATTGGTCCCGGTTCGTGTCTGGAACCGGGACCAAAGGGGTCAGACGAATCCGGCCCGAGGCCCGGCCGGCCCCCTGGCCTCACGAACCGGGACTAATGCACCCATTGGTCCCCGTTCGTAGGAGAACCGAGATTAATGCCCTCTTCAGGCCTGTTGCGAAGCCCTGTTTTCTACTAGTGGGAGGACGAAGATGAGGATGAGGCATGATTATTGATGTGTCATTTGTTTATGTGAACTTTTATGTCATAAACTTGGTTGGATGATTTTGAACTTGGTTGGATGATGATGTGATGTGGCAATGATTTTAAACTTTTATGTCATGAACTTGTTTGGGTGATTTTAAACAATGCTATGTCTTATTTTGATGTTTGAAATATCACCATATTGTCTCCAAACTGAACATATTGCAAGCGCCGGGCTGCTCGCGTGTTGTAGTTTAGCGCGTCTGCTAGAATGGCGTGCGCACAATTTTTTGCAGCAGCCGCTGGAGCCAGTGCTTCCCGGCGCGCAAAAACTGACGATTCCGGCGCTGTAAACGGTTTTTTAGCGCGCCGCGCATTGTGCGCCTGTAGGAGATGCTCTAACACAGGTTATGTGTCACTGTCAGAAAGAAAGAAAAAACAAGTCACTAGGTGTAGCGATATTGATGATGTGTAAATTAGCAATCAGAAGCTAGTACGCGTGGAGAGACAAGTTGGACTTGGAGGATGTGGATGCGGTGTATGAAATACAGTGGCTAGAGAGATTAGGTTATTGAGCAGAGTGGTATATACTCTCATTTGGCCTAACTATAAGTATTGCAAGTTGTTCCTGCAGACGGGAACATGTAGTTGACGGGCTTTACTTGGATCAGCACATGGAAGAGGCATCGCACCTAATATATCCCTTTCTGTCGTGTAGCAGTAGCACGCATCATCTTGTTATTCCTTTTTGTTTTGTAGCTTGCTCTCAACAGCCGACCTCCTACTTTGTTGGCGAAATACAGTAGACAGGACTAGTAGTACAAGTAGCCACTAGGGGTGACCACATCGATCACGCTAGCCGTCTCGCGGCCATGAGCCGAGCTTCGCAATCCCATTCCCATTCCCATTCCCAGATGAAGCTGCTGCTGTCCATCCTACTCCTTGCAGCGGAGACCGGTCATGAGCAGACGATGGGCGCCATTGCTGGACAGCAGCCGCCGATCACGCGCGAGGGCTGCCCCGACAAGTGCGGCGAGACGAGCATCCCCTTCCCGTTCGGCATGGCGCGCGGCTGCTTCCGGCCGGGCTTCCAGGTCGTCTGCAACCACTCCTTCCGCCCTCCTCGCGCCTTCCTCGCTGACAACGGCGGAAGAACGTACCAGCGGATGATGGACCAGAACTACACGGGGCCGTCGTTCAGGCCTGGAGAGCCCTTGCGCCGGAACAAGGCGGTGGAGCTCATCGACGTGTCGGTCGACAAGAGCGAGGCACGGATATACACCGCGGTCAGCTCCATCTGCAGCACTAGCGGCACCCACGCGGTGGGCAGGTATGCGTTCACCTACCTGGACAAGGCAGGGCCGTTCCTCGCCTCGCCAGTCCGCAACGTCCTCGTCGGCGTCGGAGCAAGAGTCGAGGCCACCATGGTGAGCAGCTTCGGTGAGACGGAGAAGGCGATGGCCTACCGGCCGTCCTGCCTCTCAGACCTCGTGGGCAACCTGCAGTTCGCCACCGACGGGGAGTGCTCGGGGCGGGGCTGCTGCGTCGCCGTCTTGCCCCCGGAAGCGCCCCTCCTCACCAGGTTCGTGGCCGGGTTCAGGCCCCGCCACAGGAGGCCTGGGTGGGAATCCAGCCCATGCTCCTACGGCATGGTGGTGCAGAGCTCCTGGTACAACTTCTCTACGCCGGATCTGTACGGCTACGAGGCGCTATCCGGCAGGCTCGCGAGGGGTGTGCCCGCCGTGCTCGATTTCGCCATCAGGAAAGGTACGTGCCCGCCCGACGGCCAGCAGCCACCGGCGGGCTACGCTTGTGTCAGCGGCAACAGCTCTTGCTCCAACGAGGCAAGAGGCTATGTCTGCAAGTGCTCGGAACATTACCATGGCAACCCCTACATCACCAATGGATGCCAAGGCACGTACTACTGCCCCAATAATTCTGCACTTACAGGGCATAGGCCACAGAAGAGAGCAGTGCCTACACCAATAATTCCCTTTAGCAAGCATGGCAAATCATATTGTCATCCTCGCGACAACTAAATTTTCCATAAAAAACACTCGATTTGTCATTGTTAAAAATTGATGTCAGATTTTTAACATCATCCTTTTTTTTTGGCCTACAAACATGCCCTTCATTTTAACTCCCCGGCTAATTCTCGTTTTTTTCTCTCCAGACATCGACGAGTGCAAGTTGCGAAAACAGAGTCATGAGCTCAGACTCTTGTATCCTTGCTCTGATGACGGGATCTGCAGCAATAGGGTGGGAGGCTATGATTGTCGCTGCAAACCCGGAATGAAAGGCGACCCTATAAAAGGGCACTGTACGGAGAAATTCCCCCTGCCAACAAAAGTGGTTGTCGGTAAGATTTTCAAGCATCTATATATTGAACTAAAACCACGACGCTTATTTTGGAATGGAGGGAGTAGTTTTTTTTTTGCTAGCCATGTTGCATGATTATTTATTTTTAGTTTTGGTCTAGACTCCAGCTGATGTGGTGGTCGAAATATACCGTCCCAACTTAATCTTTACAATGAATTAGTTAGGTATATATAATTTATTTAATATGTTATCAAAACCAATACATCTCAAGTTCAAGACTATGCTTCCTTGTTTTTGTTTTGCTGGTCTGGGCCTATAATTTCATAGTTTGAACCTTGTGATTGTTGCCTAGTTGTGGGCTTTATTAATTTATAGTCGGGCCCTAAAAGTTCAAGACTAGGCCAACATAGTTTCAATAATAGCATTTTCGGCCTACATTGATTTCATTTTCATGTTTAAGGCCTTGAGAGCCTGTAAGAGCCTATATGTTATTGGAAGGTCAAAATATGTTGTCTACCTCTTGATGCAAGATTTCACGCAAGTCTTTCACGGTACTAGCAAATACACAAGCGTGAGCTTAATAACAACATCGAGAAAGTAGTTCCTATAGCTAAAATAGTGGCAATACATTGCCGATAACTAGTTTGGTGGTTATAAGGGCACAACCCTAAACTATAAGAACTATGAAACTAAGAGGAATCACAAGTGAGAACCTCAAGGATTATTAATGGATTCAAGGACTCACAAACTTGTACTACAGGCCCATACTAAGGTGGAAGCTACTCCCTCTGTATCAAAATATAAGACGTTGCCTAAAAAACGTCTTATATTTCTTTCGAGGGAGTAGTTGACAATAGTGGGTAGCTCATGCACCCGGCAAAAAGCTACTTTTACAGCAGTAAAAATAATAATTGGAATTGACTTCCTCAAGCTGGAGCTTTAAGTTAGTTTTGTTTGTTAGGCATTATCTTAGTAAAATCAGGAGTTACTCACATGCATTGGCACAGGTCTGGTCATATCACCTCTTCTCATCAATATAAATTTTTACAACTCAATAATTGACATCCATGACTGCATATGATGTAAAGATATAAGCGACACACACATGTTAAGCATAGATACATAACAATAAATATGCATATCGTTTATAGACTAAGGAAGATACTACATCACTAGCATTCAACCATTAGATTATCAGTGAGGGTCAATGGCCATTAAATATATTATATGCAACTTGATGCTCATGACGTTGAGAAACCCCTTCCTACTAACTTGATTCTATCATTACTTGTTTTGTTTATATGAACGTGGAACGCAGGAAGTGAGTCTAGCTCACTTGGTTTTGGAAGTGGATAAGAGGGAGGGAGGTGGTAATACCCTCAAAAGCATGTACTCCCAGGATGAACAAATTTTTATATGCTTGTAAATTTATAAAAAATAACACTTTGCGCCCAAAGAAAACGAAACAAATTCCGTTGCTCTACAAAGCAAAATTCTGAGCACGAAGGAGATGAGCATTCTCTTCTTTCCGGTAACTTCTTAAAATCAAAAGTAACTCGGACATTTAGGTGTCGAACTTTTTTTTTCTACAATTCATAGAATACCTTTTGCACCCATATGACCACCTGCTCCGGTGTGTGCCTTTGAATTCCGCTACCTCTTGATCCTCATCCACTCTGCCCAATTCTTGAATAAGTTGTACATAATAGAAAAGCAACAGCTTACATACTTCATTGCTTTTGAAGTTTTGATCGTTTTCTTTGAACTCACTATGTTAATCTTTTAACAAGCATTAACTAAAAGCTCCATTACTCTGCACTTCTACAGGCATTGCTGCCTTCATTGTTGTCTCAGTGCTCATGGTTATGTCCCATCAACTCCTAAAACTCAAAAGGTTCTATGAGCAAAATGGCGGTCCAGTACTAAAAGGTGTGAAGAATATACGGATCTACAGAAGGAAACAACTGAAACAAATAACAAATAACTACAGGCATATCATTGGAGAGGGCCACTTTGGCAAGGTTTATATGGGGACTCTGGAAGACAAACAACATGTGGCTATAAAGATCTCCATCAAAGTCGACAAGGACATGAAGAAGGAATTCATCGACGAGGTTATAATACAGTCCGGAATGAGGCACAAGAACATCTCAGGCTCCTAGGCTGTTGCCTGGAGGTGGATGCTCCAATGTTGGTCTACGAGTATGCAGCGAGGGGGAGTCTACATGATGTTCTGTTTGGATTAAGGCGCATAGATATCATACCTGTGCATACGCGCCTCGGCATTGCTGTCGGGTCAGCCGAAGGCCTAGCATACATGCATTCAGCAGTGGAGAGCACAATACGCCATGGCGATGTTAAATCTGCCAATATTCTTCTGGATGATAAATTCATTCCAAAGGTTTCAGACTTTGGAACGACAAGGCTGCTCGTGAGGGGAAAATCTGTGAAGACCGAGCGTGTCGTTGGGGATCTAAATTACATAGATCCAATATATATGGAGCATGGAGTTGTTACACAGAAGAGCGACGTCTACGGCTTTGGAGTTGTTCTCATGGAACTGATCACAAGGAGGCCCGCCATACACGACGACCGAAGGAGCTATGTTGCAAGCTTTGTTCAAGTTTCTCTTGATAAACAAGCAAGGAACTTTTTTGATCAGGCTATTACAAGCGAGGGGGACATTAAGCTCCTGGAAATGGTAGGCGAGGTCGCTGTGGAGTGTCTCAAACCTAATCCAGAAGAACGCCTAGATATGAAACAAGTAGAACAATGCCTCGTCCAAATTATGGGACAGTCCGCACAACATGCTCAGGAGACAAGCTATCATGGAGATCTTAGTCCTGCACCGGATGATATTCCCTTGCTCAAGGAGACAAGGATTGCAAGAATGCAGTAACCAGACTAGGAACAAGTATAGAATTGATTTTGCTAATATTCTGAATATCACATCCATTTATGTAACCGCTTTAGTGTCCTGATAATTTTTACTGGTTATAATTTGTCAAGACATCAAATTATGTACCGGTATTACTGTATTTGAAGTAGAGCAAACAGTGGTTGTGATCTTAACTCAGATGTATACTTTTCCTGATGATCACTACCCAATGTTGTGTCAATAGAAAAAGGAAAAATTGTCCATTTAAAGAGGTAGAAATATGACTTCGAAAAAAGCAGAAGTTTCACAATTTTGTGTATGCCAGTTCCTTTGGTGATGGTAACTATGAAACAGTTGCACCTCTAGTTCTTTGAGTTGTCATTATCTAAAGAAGTGATGAAAAAGTTCTTTGAGTTGTAGTATTAATTACATTCTAGTAACATATTTGATCATAAAGTTTCATCTCAAAGATTTCACAACTTGAGACTGGGCCGGATTAGTCATCATTTCTTTTGTTGTTGAGGAATTTCACCTCTTTGTTTCCTTTGTGTGATTTTCAGTTCATATAACTAGGCCAATGCCCACTCAGCAAGGTTGTCAGAAGCCTAGTCTTCTGTTTGTAGAACATATAAGTCAGTATACTCAGGTGGCTTTAAGGGAGACATATCCAAAGAAAGTGAGGCATAGTTATTTACATGGAGGAATGGTCAAACAGAAGATTGCTATGCTGTGTACATGGAACCACACATGGTCTTGTGTGCCGCTTTGTTGGTTCTAGTATTATATACTTGTTGCTTGCAAAATATAAGGAAATAATCAATTGATTGTGCTATTGCTAGTTTAGAGCAAATGATTTGATCACGATGTGATTCAACAAGACATGGTCTTTGCATATCTTCACAGCACCTATCCCTCTTTGGCTATGGACCGTATGTGCACAGATTAGACAGTGTAAAATTCCATTAACCTGCAGCATTTGATTCCCTTATTGGCGAGTAGCTGCTCAAGAACCCTTCAATGTATCTAATGGGGCTACGTTTGAGAATTGCAGATCAATAAACCTGATTCGCTACGAATCCATAGCTATATGCTACTATCTGAACTGGGGCTTCACATTTTTTTCAAAGGTAATGTATGACGACGCTGAAAGCGGCAAAGGATTCATCTACAACACCCGATCCATATTACTACCATCGAAGGTTTTCTAGTACAACCATTCCATTTCAGATACGTACTACTGTCTAATGCTTGTGCTGCAAATAATACTTGTACATGTTTCCTGAAAGAGTTGAACATTACCCAAAGCATCTCGTGTGATCGTAGTCAGGATTTTAAGTCCATCCGTCTCAGGACATGGTGAAAACTTGCAATGTATCCAGAATGAGCTGCTTCTCTCCCGCACCAATGCACAACTCTTGATGAATACGACACAACAAAGACATCAACAACTGTATCCTGCCTCATGCCAAAGATGATTAACTACACATCTTTCTGAAGAAAATTAAATAAAGCCTGTCCTGGAAATGAACTATCATCAGGTCCCTAGAACATACCATATCATTTACTGAACAGCTGGACATCTTCAGTCAAATTGCTGGACAACTGTTGTTTCCAAATATGGCAAGAGTGGCCTGATATTGCTAGATTATAGAAAAGAGTTGCAGCACAACTGAAAAATGCAGAAGCACGCCATGTTATAGGCATCGAAAATATGAACAAAGTTCCATACCATCATCACAATCTGGAGGTGTTTGGTTCACCAAAGGTAACGCAAACGTAAACGGAATCAGGTCACACTGGTACTGTAAAGGAAATGGAAAAAAATGGAACTTTGTTTGGATGTGAACTGTAACCGTAATCATTCCCATCGGCTATATTATCGTCTTCGACGCCGCCAATCCGGCACCATCTTGCGCCTCCGCTGATGATGGCTAAGGGAATGCATGCCTCCAGCAGCTGGGAGACCTGCTGGTGAGGCCTGCAGTGATAGCTGGGAGACCTCTAATGGCGCGACCACCAGCGCCGCCGCCGCGCTGCTCCTCTCATGGCGCCGCCGCCAGCCTGCTCATGAAGCAGAGTTGATCGAGGTATGGCGCGAGACCAGCGCCGCCGTTCGCCTGGATGTACAAGATAGGGGGCGGAGTCGTCGCAGAGGGGACCGAGCCACCGAGGGCGGATGGATCGATCTCGATGTGCAGCTCGACAAGAACGAAGCTGTAACGTAATCTGTTTGCGGCCAGGGGTGGGCGGAATCAGCGGAGACTTGCGTTGTGATCTGTTTACGTGGTAGCTGTTTACGGGCCGGGCCAAACAAACATGATTAAGGTATCAATTTGCGGTGTAATCAGATAACGGGGAAAATGTGTCGAACCAAACACATCCTCTGTGTCTACAGATATGTGTAAATCGAATTAGCAGCATTGTGATGAAGCATGAGCAATATGCAAGCAGAACGAATGCTGATGTAGTAAACCATCATGAAGACTCAATACTCTGAAAGAAATTTCTTATTCACATCAAACACGGCATTCTTCAAATTCCATTGTCAAACACCTTACACTGCAGACATAATCTTGATCCAATCATTTACATTCTACATTCTCTAATTCCCATGTTGGACACCTTACATTAAATTCTCAAATTTATTTCATGACTTGTTTGCTTGGCTGCTTAAAAGAACTTTGAAAAACTGGCAAAATAATTTTTATTTGTTTGCTTTCCAACAGCATAATATGTACCGATGTCTCCCAGTTTCTTAATAGACTAATTCAGACATTCTCTAGTTCAGTATTTGAAGATTTACTGACACAAAACTAGACCAAGCTTTCCAGCCAAAATTACCTTACCTGCTATGATGAAGCAGACATGAAAACGCCAAATTAAAGTTCTGAGCTATACAAATTCATGGTCTCCAGAAGCCGCATTGCCTAATACATTCATGTCCAGGACTGTTCTTGGCGCTTCTTTCAATTCATTGTCAAGATTCATGCTTCCTGCATCTTCCAGTTCATCTCTGTCAGAGTCTCTTTTTGTTACTTCTTCAGTACTATCGTCTGGATAAACCCTTATCCTTATGCGCTTGCCTTTGATGTATCGATATTCAAATTTTGGCGGTGGATATTTCCTATTTAACTTTTCGTATTTGTCCAGCATCTCTAGCTTCATAAATACATCACCGAGCATCCTGACAATCGAGGTATCAGGTCGAACACCCAGCTCTTCCATATCAGCAAAAACCTGGATGAGTCGCGAGGGAAACATGAAACGGTTAAAACGGAACAACCATTGCAGTAAGCATCATTTCTGTACCCATGTTCCTTTAAGCCTAGTTTTTCTACCACAAAAGAAAATGCTGAGACAATCACATCCAGTGTATGGTCAATAATATGTACAATACAGCCAACTCAAACTCCAAATCTCTTAAGGCGAGCACAAAATTAGGTGAAAATAAATAAAAGGAATACAGATTTGCATCTTACTATGTCAGCTAAGTATGCAGATAGTTCTAGAGTAGTATAGCTATTGCCTCTCCATGCAAGTAGGACAAAATGGTGCAAAATCTACAACTATAAGATTTGCACATTGAAAATAAACACAGCATATTAAGTTCTATTTTCCTACCTCAAACATCTTCTCATATGACCCCAATCTGTAATATAAGGAGATTATTTTCATGAAAAAAACACGTGGCAAACCCTCCATATATCTCGAGAATATCTTTTGAAATAGCTCTTCTGCTTCCTCAATTCGTCCATCCTCGACTAAAGCGTTTAATAAAGTTTGATAGCTTCCCATGGTCTTCCCTTGACCTTTATTGAACATCCACTTGATAACCTAAACCAGAGATTGTGCAATTATTTTCTTGATACAAGAAAAAGAATATTATTGGAAGGGAGGAGCCAATTCTAGATAATCAGTAGAGAAATAATATCCATCAACAGTTTCATTAGAAATACAAGATAGAAACACATCTGACGAAATATTCGACATTTTCACATAAACAAGCATGAACTCCTATTTGATACCTGAATTATTCTTTTCCATTCCTTCTCATCCTCAAGCGTCTTCAGTGCTTTCTTTACTGCTATCAAGGGAAACTCCAGTTCCCATGCAACGAATGAATCAAGAGCACCATAAACCTCCTCCTTTACATTAGACAAACCCTTAATCTGCAGGAGAAAGTAAAATGCGTCACACAAATGGTGAAATGGAGCTCTGGCTGTAACCCTTTGGTGCCAAAATAATAAGGAACACATAATCCCTGTCGGCCCAAAGTTATTTTCTCATAAACAGTCCACATGTAACAATTTATTAAAATCACTACCGCAATTGAGAGTTGTAGAGTTCCATACGAAAGCTGAAGTACAGAACAACTGTTTTTGTTGCGGTGCAAGCATGGAGTTATGGGGTAATCTAGTGTCCCAGAGCAGGAATAAGGACAAATCCATATAGAGTACAGATTCTAGTGATAAGTACAACAGAGAAATGTAGAAGAACCTCACACATTTGACAAGCTTCTGCGACTTGGAAACGGTTCCGATTCTCTTGTCAGTTTTCCACACGCGAGGATATCTCGGCCTCGGACCCCTGGCACCGCAAACCTGTGCCACAAGATTGTACCAATCAGGATAAGCACCACCACCGCCAACAAGTTGTGAACAAACCCCACATGCTATGTATGGAGGCGAATGAGGCAGCTCACCACTAAGGAGTTGAACTTTCGAGGGCGCAGAACGACGGCTCTCTCGAACGCTATACCGAATGCGGGCGCCCAACACCTCAAGGAAAGCATGATGAAATCTGCAGCAGGGAAGCAGGAATCCCCCTCCAATGTCACTACCCGCCCGCCTACTTCTCCGCAGATCTTTGGAGGCGAAAGAGCAGGTTCGTACCTCGAAAACCGGGGTCCAGGAGATTGCGGAGGGAGGGAGGGACGCGACGGGAAGAGGAGCGGCGGCGCGCGTCAGGCGTCGGCGGCGGCGGAGGAGCTCCGGGTCGGGACGGGAGGAGAAGAGGGTCCTCTTCCTCGTGCGGACGGGGGTGGGTGGTGGAGAGACAAAGGTAAGTTTTCCAAGGTTGAGATAAGCTTGGTGCTCTCTTCTTTGAAAAGAAAAAGAGTGAAATTGAAAGGCACTTTTGGAAGAAAAAAAAAGACGTGGAGTTTCTACACCCAGAGCAAAGGCTCCTGGTGTGAACAATAAAATCAAGAAAAGTTTTAAAAAATCTGAAATTTATTTGTGGCATACTTTCACAAATGTTTGTTGTGCATGCAAAATTTCATCGCAAAATCACAATGGTGGAAGGCATGGTAAAAAACAAAATCGATGCTTTGAAAATGTTACTTACAAAAGCATTTTGGAGCTCCGGTTTTCTTTTTTTGGCACGACTTCCACCAATGTGATTTCGCGATGAATTTTTGCGTGCATGACAAACATTTGTGAAATTATGTCAAAGAACATTTTAGAATTTTTTGATTTTTTTTACTGTTCACATCCAACAGCATTTGCTCCTGGGTGTAGAAAGGCACTTTCGGAAATTGAACTACAACTATGGTTTTGAGTAAGAGCAAGGTCCTTTTTTTAAGATCCACTATGATAATGAAAATGATTTCTAGAACAAAGCCGGATATGGTTCGTTGCGCCGCTTGATACGTCCATTTTGCATCATGCTTTTATATCAATATTTATTGCATTGTGGGTTATTATTACACATTATATCTTAATATTTATGGCTATTCTCTCTTATTTTACAAGGTTTACCATAAAGAGGGGGAATGCCGGCAGCTGGAATTCTGGCTGAAAAATGAGCAAACGTTGAAAACCTATTCTGCACAGCTCCAAAAGTCCTCAGACTCCACAAAACAACTTTTTAGATTTAATAAGAATTTTTGAGCAAAAGAAATAGGCCAGAGGGCCCACACCCTGTCCAGGAGACAGCCCCCCTATAGGGCGCCCCCCCTATAGGGCGCGCCCCCCTATCTCCTGGGCCCCCTGGTGGGCCTCCGGCGTCCATCTTCTGCTATATCATCATTTTTACCCTGGAAAAAAATCGTGAGCAAGCTTACGGGATGAAACTCCACCGCCACGAGGCGGAACCTTGGCGAAATCAATCTAGGGCTCTGGCAGAGCTGTTCTGCCGGGGACACTTCCCTCCGGGAGGGGGAAATCATCACCAACATCATCACCAACGATCCTCTCATCGGGAGGGGGTCAATCTCCATCAACATCTTCACCAGCACCATCTCCTCTCAAAACCCTAGTTCATCTCTTGTATCCAATCTTGTATCAAAACCACGAATTGGTACATGTGGGTTGCTAGTAGTGTTGATTACTCCTTGTAGTTGATGCTAATTGGTTTACTTGGTGGAAGATCATATGTTCAGATCCTTTATGCATATTATTACTCCTCTGATTATGAACATGAATATGCTTTGTGAGTAGTTACGTTTGTTCCTGAGGACATGGGTGAAGTCTTGCTATTAGTAGTCATGTGAATTTGGTATTCGTTCAATATTTTGATGAGATGTATGTTGTCTTTTCCTCTAGTGGTGTTATTTGAACGTCGACTACATGACACTTCACCATTATTTGGGCCTAGAGGAAGGCATGGGGAAGTAATAAGTAGATGATGGGTTGCTACAGTGACAGAAGCTTAAACCCTAGTTTATGCGTTGCTTCATTAGGGGCTGATATGGATCCATATGTTTAATGATGTGGTTAGGTTTACCTTAATACTTCCTTCGTAGTTGCGGACGTTTGCAATAGGGGTTAATCATAAGTGGGATGCTTGTCCAAGTTAGGGCAGTACCCAAGTATCGGTCCACCCACATATCAAATTATCAAAGTACCAAACGCGAATCATATGAACGTGATGAAAACTAGCTTGACGATAATTCCCATGTGTCCTCGGGAGCTCCTTTCTCATTATTAGAAATTGTCCAGGCTTATCCTTTGCTACATAAAGGATTGGGCCACATTGCTGCACTTTATTTACTTGTTACTCGTTGCCATTATCTTATCACAAAACTATCCATCACCTACAATTTCAGTGCTTGCAGAGAAAACCTTACTGAAAACTGCTTATCATTTCCTTCTGCTCCTCATTGGGTTCGACACTATTACTTATAGAAAGGACTACGATTGATCCCCTACATTTGTGTGTCATCACCGCTCCATCCACCCACTCTCCTAACCACCCTCTCATCCGCCGTCATGATGCTCCACGACAAAGAGCTGCCACCACCGGCCGAGGTAGTGGAGGAGGCACCTGCGTGCCTTCACAATCATCGAGGGCACCTCCTCCTTCTTGTCGCGCTAGTCGCGACACGGCGGCGACGCTGGCTCGTCGATGCGGGCGTAACGGTTCTGCGGCGGCGACTCCGCCTCCTCCTTCATGCAGCCTCCGATTTGGATGACGCGGTTGCGCCGGGGGATGGGGGAGGCTCCGCCTTGACGCGTCGGAGAGGCGTCGACGCCGGCTCTGCCTTGATGCAGTGGAGCGGCGGCGAGGGCGACACCGTCCTTGAGCGATGGCTCGAGGTGCGTCGGGTAATCCTCGTCCGTCGCAGCGGCCTCCGCGAGGAGGCGTGACTAATGCGGCTCCTGCTCCCCCTTGTCGCTGGAGCAGAGGATGATCTCCTCTTCCTGGAGGAGCCGGGCACCGTGGAGTACGATGGAACCGGAGAGCGACGACGGGGGCGCCCCAATCCGGATCCGGAAGGCGATCCAGAGCCACCACCTGCCAGTGCGGAGACACAAGACTTGGTCATCGTCGACAGCAGTGAACGAAGAGGAGAGGATGTGAGGTTTGGCGTGGACGGCGCCAGAGGCGTGCTAATAGCCGCGACCAGGCGAACGAGTGGGTGGGCGGCTTCAATGCGACCAATCAACCGAAGGAGGCTCTTGGTTGCCATGCCGGCATTGAAGCGGCGACGCCCGCTCATCCGGGCGCGTCGTTCTGACCGGCATGAAAGTCGTGGAGTCACGTATGCACTGGAGTGGCATAATCGGTACGAAGCGGGATTTTGGGTAGGGAGAGTTTTAGGTGAGACATGGCTATTAAGCGTATATGTGGCGGCCGTCCCGACTCCCACAAAACCTTCTCCTGATTTGCATCCGGTTTACGGGATTTCGAACACATAGATTTGTCCGCAGATCGACGGGCACCACGTTGAATGACTTGCATCATCCGAATACGTCATTAAACGTATGTGAATGGTTGGAAGGTCTCCCTAAAGCCCTTCTCTTTCTCTTAAAAAAAAGAGAGTCCCTCTCAAAGAAGACCAGACAAAGTCAAGTAGAGTCCTTCACACGGAAGCAACCTATACATGGCTTGGCGGCTACTCAAAAATATTTACGCCTGTCGTGGACCATCGGATTTACACGGAACGGCCAGGATCGCCTCCCTCTCCTTGGGGGAAAACAGCCGGATTCATCGTCAAGCTCAAAAGAATAAATAGAAATTCGGGCGGGCGCCGGTGCCGCCACCTCCATCGACCATCGCGCTCCGGAGTCTTCACTGGCGGCGACGAGCCCTTCCGCCCCCCACCTTCTCCGTCCCGTTCGAGGTGAGGCCCTCGCTTACTCGGTCGAGCCCCAGTCTTTTTCCAGCGATCCTCGCCGGTGTGGCCCCCAGCTTTCTGATCTCAACTTTCTGAACCTGACAGAGCTCATTCTTGCCGGTGCCGGTTCGTCCCCGCCCGGCCGCCCCGTCCTCCCCGGCGCAAGTCCCCTGCTGCGGCGAGCCGCCTCCACCAGGTAACGCACTCTGTAACTCGTTCGTTCTAGCAAGAGGTCGATTCGAGCCCTCTAGCTAACTGTTCAGTTTCGGCCTTAGAACCAGTGACAGAGTTGATTCCATCGCCTACCAGAGTCAAAATAACTTACTGTCCACTGAACGATTGGCGTGTCTAGGCGGTTAGTTTACTTCTATATACATACAGGCATGTTCATCATCTGTTAAAAAAAATCATGTTGTGTTGTGAATAGAGTTAAAAGTTGTTTGTTTCTGCATCAGTAAAGTCACCTCAGAGGCATGGTGCAGTACTTCACACAAGGAGAAGAGAAGGAGATGAATTTATTCGTTTTATAATGATATCAAACCATTCGGTTTAATTCTATAATCTCAAACCAGGAGCTTCAACTTTAAATTCAACCAATAAACATCTGCAAATAGTAGCCAAATACACATGTGGTGTCAACTTGCCCTCAACTGTTGTTCACGTTGGCTTCCCAGCTTATTAGGTTCTGCACTCAGTGCTGCTAGTTGTTGTTGTTAAGAGATTTGATTCATCATCAGGAAGCCCATGTATCTTAATGCTTTTCACAATATGTCTGTGGCGTCACCATGTTTCGCCGATGCAAAATTAACTACTCTGAGATCTTTTATTTTGGTAAAAAAATTGAAGTCCAGACTTTTTCACATCGTGTCACTGTCTAAAACGGTCCACACGTATGATAGATTACGTCTCATATGCAGAGAGTTGTCTCTGAAATTTGTAATCATTAAATGGCCTGCTGGTGACTCTAAGCCATCATCAAATTGCCAAATGATGCTAGCTCTGTGGTGGGAGTGAATTGCAGAAAACCACCACATTTCAGATTCTGGATGCTTAACTCTGTTTGTACCTTGTTTGACATCTTGTTGTCTTCGCTGTTCAGGAAAATGTCATCGACTCATGAAAAAGGCAAGAGCAAGGCGCGGACAAAGCTTTTGATCGATATCCAAAATGCTGTCCAGGAGTGCTGGGAGGAGCACAGGGTGTTTGAGGCCGAGCCTGGGGACAAACCTCCGGCGCCCGGCGAAAAATTCTTTGGCACGTTTCCATACCCATACATGAATGGTTTACTGCATTTGGGTCACGCCTTCTCACTGTCCAAGCTTGAGTTCGGTGCTGCATACCACAGGCTTCGTGGGTCCAATGTCCTTTTACCCTTCGCTTTCCATTGTACTGGGATGCCAATAAAGGCCTCGGCGGACAAGCTTGCGCGAGAGATTGCACAATATGGGAATCCTCCAGTATTTCCTGTAGCAGACGAGAAGTCAAGTGCTGAAGTGTCAGAGGCTGATCAGGTCGCCGTTGTTCCGGGTAAGTTTAAGAGCAAGAAAGGTAAGGCTGCCGCAAAGTCTGGTGTGCAGAAGTTTCAGTGGGAGATTATGGAGAGCTTTGCGCTGTCAGATCAGGAGATTGCCAGATTTCAGGATCCTTATCACTGGATGACTTACTTCCCTCAGTTGGCCAAGGACCATCTCAAGGATTTTGGCCTGGGCTGTGATTGGAGGCGTTCTTTTGTAACCACTGACATCAACCCGTTCTATGATGCTTTTGTCCGATGGCAAATGAGGAAGTTGAAGAAACTGCACAGGATTGTTAAAGATATGAGGTACACGATCTATTCTCCGTTGGATGGCCAACCTTGTGCTGACCATGATCGAGCAACAGGTGAAGGTGTGCAGCCACAGGAGTATGTGTTGATTAAAATGGAGGTGCTCCCGCCTTTTCCTCCCAAGATGAAGGCCTTAGAAGGGAGGAAAGTCTATTTGGCAGCAGCGACGTTGAGACCCGAGACTATGTATGGGCAGACAAACTGTTGGGTATTGCCAGATGGAAACTACGGGGTTCGAGGTTAATGACATTGATGTCTTTATCATGACAGCAAGGGCTGCTCTTAATCTTGCATATCAACATCTATCCAGGGTCCCAGAAAAGCCAACCTGCTTAGCCGAACTGTCTGGCAGTGATTTGATTGGTCTGCAGTTAAGATCTCCTCTCGCTTTGAGTGAAAACATATATGCGCTGCCCATGCTCACCATCTTAACAGATAAAGGAGTATTTAACCAAAAACTACCACATTTCATGGAAACGTACCCAGAAACTACCACTTTATGATTTTGTGCGGAAAACTACCGCTTTTTTCCTAATCATTTGCTAAAAACTACCACTTTGATTTAAGTACCGTTTTAAGCATTTTAATGTGATTATGACAGACTGGACCCATCTGCCAGGACTGGAAAAGTCAGCACCGTTAACTTTGACCGTTAACATGTGGGGCCCACATGTCAGTTCTATCCCCTTCCTCTAAAATTCCCCATGGAGGATCTAGATCAGGGGGTCCCGTCACCTGCGAGCTCCGGTGGTCATCCTCTGCACCGGAGACCTCCCCTGCCTGTGGTTGTGCCCGTCGGGCACCACCACCTACGCCCGTGAGTGGCTTGCGGGGTGAGGGGATGTGGAAGCCAAGGCATGGAAAGGGCGGGGCGGCGGGCGCGTGCTGGCAGAGCTCTTGCCGCGGCGGCGGAGAAAGAAGAGCTCGCCGGTGAGGCTCTTGTGGCCGAGGGGTTGCGGGCGTCGTGGGAGCCGCAGGGAGGAGTAGGAGGTCTTGGGCGAGACAGAGGAGGGGCAATGGTGACAGCGCCATGTACAAGAGTCCTCAGCCATGGCGGCGCCCCTCACTTTGGTGGTCTCGGTCCGATACGACGAGCAGAGGATGGCGGCTGCTCGTGGTTGTGGCCTTGCGCCGCGCGGCGGTTGTGAAGCGCATCGGGCCTGTTGCCGCCCGTCGATGCGGACACCGGGTAGTAGCACGACTCGCCGACGGGAGGATGGGAGGCACACTGCTCACCGGGGGAGGAGGGAGGGTCGCAGGGTGGTGGCTGGGTAAATGGATGGAGGATGGAGGTGCTGAGGGAAGGAGGTGGAGTGTGGCCTGAGCTGCGGCATGGCGGCGCCCCTGATCTGGATCCTCGGTGGGGAATTTCAGAGCAAGGAGATGGAACTGGCATATGAGCCCCACATATTCACGGTCAAAGTAACGGTGTTGGCTATTTCCGCATTGATGGGTGGGCCCAGCCTATCATAATCGGGTTTAGTCCATCACTTTTCAGACTTAGTAGTTTTTAGCAAAGGATTAGGAAAAAAATGGTAGTTTTTCGTACAAAATCATAAAGTGGTAGTTTCTGGGCACGTTTTCATGAAATGTGGTAGTTTTTGGTTAAATACTCCAGATAAAGGCACCGGCATCGTGACTAGTGTTCCGAGTGATTCGCCGGATGATTTCATGGCCCTGCAAGATTTGGTCACCAAGCCTGCTTTGAGAGCGAAGTATGGAGTCAAGGATGAGTGGGTTCTTCCCCTCAAAGTTATCCCTGTAATCAACATTCCTGAATTTGGGGACAAGTCAGCTGAGAAGGTGTGCTTTAGTCTCAAGATTAAGAGCCAGAATGACAAGGAGAAGCTCGCTGAAGCAAAAAGAATGACATACCTGAAAGGATTTACTGATGGGACAATGATTGTAGGGGAGTTCAGTGGAAGAAAGGTACAAGAGGTAAAGGCACTGATAAGGAAGAAACTGTTGGAAGAAGCCATGGCAGTGTTGTACAGTGAGCCTGAGAAGAAAGTTATGTCGAGGTCCGGCGACGAGTGCGTGGTCGCGCTCACAGATCAGTGGTACATCACTTACGGTGAAGGTGAGTGGAAGCAGAAGGCGGTCCGGTGTTTGGAGAATATGAATACTTTCTCATCAGAAACTCGAAATGGTTTCGAGCACACGTTGGGCTGGCTCAACCAATGGGCATGTTCACGTTCTTTTGGCCTAGGTACTCGCATCTCTTGGGATGAGCAGTTCCTTGTGGAGTCTCTTTCCGATTCAGCCCTATACATGGCTTACTACACTGTTGCGCATTATCTGCAAAACGGCAACATGTATGGAAAGGAAATTTCATCGATCATGCCAGAACAGATGACGGATGAAGTGTGGGACTATGTGTTCTGTGATGGCCCAGAACCCAAGAGTTACATCCTTTGTGCCCTCCTGTGCAAAATGAAGCAAGAATTCGAATATTGGTATCCCTTGGATATTCGGGTGTCTGGTAAGGATCTCATCCAGAACCACCTGACATTCAGCATCTACAACCACACGGCGCTTCTCCCGGAGCACCACTGGCCTCGCGGATTTCGTTGCAATGGGCATCTCATGCTTAACTCTGAGAAGATGTCCAAGTCCACAGGGAACTTTCTAACTCTAAAGGAGGCCACTGCGGAATACTCGTCCGACGCAACTAGGTTTGCCCTTGCCAATGCCGGTGACGGCATGGATGATGCCAACTTTGTCACTGAAACAGCAGAATCCGCTGTTCTGAGGCTCACGAAAGAGCTTGCGTGGATGGAGGAGATCATAGCTTCTGAATCTTCTCTAAGGTCTGGGCCTGCCTCTACTTTTGCTGACCGGGTGTTTGCGAATGAGATGAACATTGCTGCGAAAGAAACTGAGAAGAGCTATGACGCCTTCATGTTCAGAGATGCCCTCAAGTCTGGGTTCTATGACCTCCAGTTGGCGAGGGATGAGTACAGACTCTGTTGCAGAATGGCAGGCATGAACCGCGATCTTTTGTGGCGATTTATGGATGTCCAGACCAGGCTCATCACCCCCATCTGTCCACACTACGCCGAACATGTCTGGCGAAAGCTCCTGAGAAAGGATGGTTTTGCGATCAAAGCTGGGTGGCCAGTCGCAGGCGCTCCGGATCCTACTCTAAGATCTGCAAACAAATATCTACAGGACTCCATCGTTTTGATGAGGAAGCTGCTAAAGGCGCAGGAATCTGGTTCCAAGAAACCCAAGAAGGGAGCTGCACCTCTGCTACCATCGTCAGAGGGAAACAAGTTGGCCGTTGGTCTGATATATGTCAATGAGCACTATTATGGGTGGAAAGCGCAGTGTCTGAAGGTGCTCCGGTCAAAGTTTGATAGCCAGACATGTACCTTCGCCGCTGACGAGGAGATCAATAAGGCACTGAGGAACTGCCTTGTTGGACAGGAAGCAGCAGACTTCAGACAAGTCCAGAAACAGTGCATGCCTTTCATCAAGCTGAAGAAAGTCGAAACTAGCAACTTTGGTTCCAATGCTCTGGATCTGAAGCTCCCTTTCAGTGAAATTGATGTTCTCAAGCAAAATCTGGAGCTGATCAAAAGGCAGTTGGGCCTTGAGCACGTGGAGGTGTTGTCGACATCTGATGAAGCCGCTCTTGCCAAAGCTGACAGCTATGTTTCTGTGTTGAACAAGACCCCACCTTCCCCCGGTGAGCCGGTTGCAGTATTCATGACCAGGCAGGCGTTTGAAGCCCAAAACTGAGATGAAGGTACATATACTATTATTAGCTTCCTTTTCTCTTATTTCTGTGGACATGTAGAAGTTACATTAGATATGAAAAAACAAAAAAAATTGTACTTATTCCATACCCTGTTACACAGCAGTGGTGCTTTGCACAGGGACTGCTATGTTGAAATGCTGCTCTATGTCAAAGACCCATGGAGTTTGAATTTGTCTTATCGCTCTGAAGCACAATATTTAGAAAGTCCCATGGAGTTTGTATTTGTATTAATTTTTCTTCTTCACTGTAGCTTCCAGCAAAAGATGCTGCAACTAATTATTTCTTGAGAAAAATAGCAGCCCTCCTGCTCATGCATTTAAGAAGGGACTATGAAACTGAAGCCCCATAGTAGCTTAGGATAGTAGCCCTAATCTGTTCTCGAGGTACCAGTTTCAGCTTCTGCGCAGAGACTAAAGTCAAGTAGATAGCAACTAATCTATGTGATGATGATTACTTGATGAAACTACCAAGTTTAATTTATTAAACTGTGTTTGCTGTTATCCAAGTATAAGTATAGTACTCTTTTTTGAACATCATTGGCCTCCTGTAAAGTGTTGTATGACACGCACCTTGGAAGAAACACAGTCCTCTCCGTCGCGTGTGGACCATGATCTGAACCATTCTTATGTAAGCGATTCTTGTAGTCATGGCGATGTGTCCACTTGCTCTAGATGATTTCATTGGCCTCTGTTGTTATTCTGTCGCTTGCTAGCTAGCCTGTAACCAAATCATGGATCTCAATTTTGTACAAGCCACAAACAACATAGCATTAGCTGCTGCTGGTTGCATTCCCAGATTCGGAACACATGTCAAATTCAGGAAATCGTATGCTTTTGTTTGAATTCAGAAATCAAAGCAGCAGTGTGTACTTTGAAGCATTCCGTTTGTATGATATCATATTATAGACATGTTCTCGTGTTCCTCTTTCAGGTGCATATGCAATGAAGGCTTGTTAATCCCTCCAGCTCCAAGATGTCAAGATCCATCAATTATTAGAAGAAATACATTGCTGTTGCAGAATCTTGCATGCAGTTTTTTTTAGAGGGCGAAGCAGAAGGCAAAAGATGCAGCGGTAACCAGAATGAAAGCTGCATATTTGTGTAGACAAGCAAAAGATGTATTTTCTAGTAGTTTGTCCTTTCAGGATTTTTAAACCCATTATTTTACAAGTCTTCTCCACTTAAATATTCCACTTTGGAAATGTTATATGGCTGAAACGGTGAAACCAATTCAAGAAACAACCCATTTTTCGGTCTGTGCATTTTATCCTTTATCTACAGCCAGGTGATTTTAAGTTTGCCAGGTAAACAAATGCTCTTCCTAGTGTGTCGTGTGTGTCGCAGCTCCGTCAAACCCTGTAATCTGGATGCTTTGCCGACATAACGGCCAATGAAAATGTTCATGTGGGTTTTTCGGCCCCACCGGTGACCTTTCAAAAACTGCTCTTCATTGATACTGGAAAAATTCAGCAAAATTTTATAATGAAGTTTTGTGTGCAGAAGGAATCATGGGGTGAAAGGCGGGACGGAGGCGGTGCCCAGGGCCACCACACACCCCTGACACCCGGCCAGAAGGTAGGCCACATGGGCCCCACATGGTTTCGTTATTTTTCCGATGCTCATTATTTCTATTAAAATTGCCAAAAATAGTGTTGGGGGATTTTTCGAAGATGATTTTCATACTCTGGAGGTGTTCAGAATTTTTTTTGATAAATTCTTCTGGAGTACTTGTATAACATCGGTGTCCACTTTGAGGTTGTTACCGACAATATTTGTGCTCAAAACCTCTGACCATTCATCACTCTTGGTCTAGTGCCCCATGCCATCATTGATCTTGATTGCTCCTGGCCAGTAAAATTCCTCGATGATATATGGGCCTTCTCATTTGGATAGAAATTTACCTGCAAAATGTCTTAAAGAGACTTGTACAAAAGGACTTTATCTCCTATTTTGAATTCACATTTTTGTTTTCTCTTGTCATGCCAATTTTTAACCTTTTCTTTAAATACCTTAGCATTTTCATAAGCTTCATGTCACCATTGATCTAAAGCACTCATATCAAGCAACAATTTCTCTCCAGCTAACTTGAATTTGCAATCATAATTCAGTTGCTTAACAACCCTATAAATGGAGGGGGCGGGATCATAGTAGCCGGAAACGGGGATCGGTAGGCCGTCCCTTGATCCCGATTCGTCGACCCGGAATCGGATTCGGGAACGAGGTCGGATTCGGTATGATTCGATGAAGATTCGGCGTCCCCGCAGCCTGCTCCTCGATTCAGGTTCCAGGATCCAACAGCCAAAACGCGAGGCATAATTTACTCACGCCGTCGTTTCTTTTCTCAAGGACTCCTCGTTCTTCCTCCAGTCCATTAATTGCAAGGGGTCCATTAACAGCAAGGAATGCTGACCGCCAGGGAGTCATCGTTCTTCAGGAACTGCGTCCCTCGACCCATGGTACCGTACCGGATTCATCATACCCAAATGGATTGAATCGCGTCCCCGCTATAAAAAAATTGTTCGAGAGATGTATACCCTCGTTGTACCCTATTTTTTTCAGCCACCGACTCTCGTCCCTCGTTCCCGTTCCTCGTTCCCACCGTATCAGAAACATGGCAACTATGGGCGGGATTGGGTAGGTCCGGTCTATCGGATTTCGACGTGGCGGACGTCCGGATTCCGGAATCCCCTGTTGAGCCCCTCGATTTGGGATCGGCCCAGGGAATTCTGGACATTCGAACATGTCAGGCGTATTATAGGGATCCGTGATGAACAATACGGCTCTAACAATTTAGGCTGGAATGAGATCTGCATTGGAGATGCCTAATATAATCAACAAGGCAATCTTGGTCTGAAGAAAAATTTGTATGCATTTATGCTTAGGGCATCTCCAACGCTAACCCCTAAAATGGGTACATTATTTGTCTGGGGTCTGGTCCGGAACAGTTCAAGGACACTGATGTGGGAGCCGGTCATCCAATCATGTCCCCTAAATATCCATCTATGCATGTGCATGTCGCGGTTGAAGAGAGAGAGGATGTCCGGATGTCCGACATGATGGCTTTTGGTTGGCTAGACGGATGTCTCGACTCCCCCAAAGCAAACTCCCTAGTTTGCTTCTAGTTTGCTGGAATTTGGACGTCTGGACTATTCCGTGACGCTTGAGGGATAACATTGGATGGCAAAATTCCTCACGACTCCTGCAAAGGACATATAAGGGCGATTTGAGGGTCCGTGTTGGAGATGCCCTTACGAGAATGTACGATTGGTTCATCATCTATTTTGAAGGACTTTTATTTGAAAGGAGACTTGTACAAAAGGACTTTCATCTTCTATTTTTAAGGATGGTTGGTGCATGGACAAGGAAAGTTCAATTGAAGTTGTTGCTCTGAGGTGTTCGGTGTTGGTCGAGACGCGGCTTAACAATCTATTTATGGCAGGCTCCTTTACGTTGTGTATGTATTCATACGCGTAGCCAGGGGAGCATGCCCCTGCTAACAACCTAACTACAGTAGTAAACAGTGCCAAATAGTGTTCTGGTTGCTACCATGAACAAATAGACAAGCCGCCACGCCCCAGGCCATGGCCATGGTAGGCTGGGGCCTGGCTACGTCCCTCTATGTATTAGTTGTCGTGGCTAATCTTTTAATTAACTTGGTGTGGAGTTTTAACTGTACTTGTTGTTCTCAACAAGTTATTATTTTTTATATTTGTTTTCTACATTCTATAAAAGTATGGTATGTTTAGGTGGAAAAGAGTTGTATGCGTTCGTGCTTATGGAAATGTACGATTGATACAGTCTCATGTGATAGTATAAGTACCCATTCTTTTTATATAAGTACCCAGTATTTTTATGGAAATATTGTTTTTTGAATGAAATATAAGTATCCGGTTTTTCTAGGGAAATAGTTCTTTTAGGGAAACATAAGCACCTAGTTTTTTTTAAAAAAAATCCGATCTATTCATCTTCAATCATGGCAGTACAACAAACATCAGAAATAATAAAAATTACACCCAGATCCGTAGACCACCTAGCGATGACTACAAACACTGAAGTAAGCCGAAGACGCGTCGCCGTCATCGACCCTCCCTCCGGAGTCGGGCACAACTTGTTGTAATAGACAGTCGGGAAGTCATCGTGCTAAGACCTTATAGGACCAGCGCACTAGAACAACAACCCTCATCAATAAAGAATAAATATATCGAAAGGATGCAACCCGAAGACACACGAACATAGACGAATAACAACCAGATCCGAGGAAATTCACCGAGGATAGATCCGCCGGAGGCAGACC